CGGGAGAGAAACCAGGTCAGATCGGAATACATCCTGAGCCAGGCGCATTTGGACACAGAGAAGCGCAGCGCGAGAGCGTCACTAAGCACAGTTTGCGCACAAGTGTCCCGCTCGCAGGAGGGCTTTATCTACAAAGTATCGGACGGAACCGAACTGGTGCGCTCGGACGTCAGTTCCTCTGGTATTCTTCTGAGTTGTACTATCACGGCGAACCAGTCGCAGGTTGAGGCGTTTGTGCGTCAGTGCGGCGTTGACGCGCTCGAGTCACAGAGAGATGCTCCAGAGCGGCTGGACACGCGGTTTGCGCGCATGAGTGAAGCCAAATCAGTGTGCTCTGAGTATCAGCAGAGTTCACGGCGTGAAAAACACGAGGATGCTGAAGACTCCACGAACCCGCAGGAGCCGGTTTTGAAGAGATCCAAGAGAGGCTTCACTTACCCGGGGACCCTGTGGTGTGGAGCCGGGAACATGGCTGATGACTATGACCAGTTAGGTACATTCTGCTTCTTTATGTTCTTCACATATTGAATTGACTTGTTACTGCAGTACAGTCAGTAAATGACAGAGAGAGAGAGAGAGATGGTGAAAGATCTGGCATTTTACACAAAATTATCAAAACCAATATTTGAAATGACATTTTTCCAGAGTTTTATTAACTATTTCTGTCGTCGTCTTCGCAGGACATTTTGCAGAGACGGACAGCTGCTGTCGCACACATGACCACTGTCCTCATGTTATCCACGCTTTTTCCTCCAAATATGGCCACACCAACTTCAAGTGGCACTCTATCTGTCACTGTGACTGCGACAAAGCGTGAGTCAAGGGTTTTTAATGGGTTCAGGTTTGACTGGACTGAATCTACTGTTAATGAGACGATTTTTAAAGAGAAGAGAAGAGTGTGATGTGTCTCCTCTAACACTCTGCAGGTTGAGAGCTTGTTTGAGGAAAGTCAATGACACCTCTTCCAGAGTTGTGGGTCAGGCGTTCTTCAACGTCATCGGTGTTCCTTGCTTTGAGTTTATCTACGAAGAACAGTGTGCAGAGAGACAGTGGTACGGCCTGTAAGTACTGAGGGACATTTAAAAGATGTTTACTCTCCAGTATAAAACATTCCTTCTGTTTCTATCCACTCCAAGGTGTAAACGCTATGAGAAGTTCCCCATTGCTGTGTTGAAGAACGCCGTTGCCTACGAATATGGAGGCATTGATGTCATCGATGAGCTTACGTTGGCTCCTCCAAGGAAAGAAGGTTCCAAGGAGAACACTGAGGAGGAGGAGGACCAGGAGAAGAAACAGCAGCGTGCCACCCAGTTCACAGTATCCACCACAGAGGAGCCGTCACTCACCAATGTGGTCACTGCTGCAGAGGATTTCATCAAAGTCCTGGCTACTGTCTCTACCTCTCAAAGTTCCTCCTCCACTGACTTAGACGGAGGCGAGAAACCAAGCTCTGAAAAGAAGAGAAGGAAGAACAATGGGAAGAAAAAGAAAACCAAAAATCAAAAAGGAACAAAGAAGAAACATAAAGCAGTGTCAAATGGGATAACACCAAACACAGCTACGGTTTCACCTGCTGGCAGCAAACCTGGAGAAGTCATCGCTCTATCCAACGTCATCAGTGAGTCACAGCAACCCAGCCAGTTAGGCAAAAACACAAACAGGGTCAGTGCCCATGAAAACCAGTTTCAAGTCGTTAGAAGCAAAACGGCTGTGAAGGACAACAACAGTTTGGTAAAAGAAAACACACATTCATCAGCAGCAAACACAACAATAATTCCACCTAAAGGAATGAGGATGGGGAGAAGAAAGAAGAATCAGAAAGTCCCTGTTGCTTCCATGAACACAATAGATGACTTAGGCAGTTCTTCTGCCCCCACCATCATTACCATAACCACCGCAAAAAAACAAAGCCCTGGTGCTGATGCTGAGAAAGGGCCGGTTGTCAGCTCTGTCACTGAACCCTCCACAGTCAAAAGGAACAAGTCAAAGGAGCAGAGACTCAGACAGAGAAGGAAGAAGTGGAGGATGGTCAACCTAAATTCCTCTGTTGTGACTGGTGGCCTACAACGTTCCTCTGTAGAGATTCCAAAAGCAAGCTCTCTCGCTGTCTCCATCACAGCACCAGAACTGTCTCACAGAAAGAAAAAGAAGTCAAAAACAAAAACTTTGAACATTATCAGAGGAGATTCTATGGACAAGAAAACCAGAGGACAGAAAGACGTCAGGCTGCAGAAATCTGAATTTCTTAACTGTCCGTCTTCATTCACGAGACATTCAAAGGACCAGGGTGCCAGAGAGAAAAGAGAAAAACAAAAAGAAGACAGTGGAGTGTCCTTCACTGTGGCCACTGGCTGTAACGACTCCTCTGTGGACACTGACCAGACCGTCCCTCTCACTGTGCTGCCCACTGCCCTTCCAACACAGCCACAGGTTTTGAACCTGACTTTTGGCAGTTCAAAAAAGCAAAAATCAGAAGAGAGGGGATTGAGGCGCAGGGCAACGTCTTTGTCACTTTTGGGAATGAAACCAAGGCGGAAAAACAACTCTGTAAATGTGTCGTCGGTTTTTACAATTTCAGAGACAACTGCTGCACCTGTGTTTACAAAACAACAGAACGAAGACAACAGACGGCAGAGGGAGCCCGAACAGAAAGACACGACTACTCCTCACATGTCTGCAGTTTCTGTCCCAGAACTAAAGGAGGACACACACACGACATTCACAAACACACACTCCAAAGCCACTGTTGCAGAGGAGCTGCGGCCCCCTCCACCCTCCTCTACCTCCCCTGCTCCTCTGATTGTGAGCCCCATCCAGTTATCCATAGAGAAAGTCAAAGCACATTTTAACAGGAAGAAAAGGAGAAAAGCAGCTCTGTTGTCAGGATGGTCTTAATGCAGCTACGTTAGCAAACATCTTTCAATGAATGTCTTTTGTTTTCTTGCCATGACTTAAATACATTTCACTGAAATAAATCTGGTCTTTTTGTTTTAGTTTTTTAAATCTGATTCATTTAGACGAATTATCTCTGCTTGTGCTGTGAGAATCATTGATTATATTTAATTTGTGTCACCAAATAAAGTGACTCCAAATTATTGTTTTCTGTTTGTCTCTTGAGTTTTTTTTAAACAAAGAGGTTTTCTTTATAATATTTTCATTGGTGTAATCACTGTTCTGGTCTCTAGAGACTGTTCAAACCTTCTAATATACCTCAGGCTTTTACTAAATCTTTTACTGAAGAGAAAGACAAGAAGCAACATAATTGATGGGGTTTAAGGGAGGAAGAGTGTCAAGATAGGATGTTAGTGAGGAATCAGAAACAAAAATAGATTATTTTTTATTGGTGATTAAATTTATGTATGTAGTATCTAAACAAAAAAACTCAAAAATAAATGAAATTGTTATAAAGTGGTAAAAATGATCATTTATATTTTATTTCCATTACTTTGCTCAACAGTTAGGTAGAGAAACATTTACTTCGTCATCTCCTTAATACCCTGTTTATAATCCTAATTATTACAGTGAACATTGAGAAAAATGCTGATAACACTCGGAAAAACTCATAGAACTTAAACATCACTTTTTTGTTACACATGGTTCTAATTTGAAAAAAGATTAGTTCCTCAGGGTAGTCAGTAAGTGAGCTGGTACTGTTTACATTTGGCTGCTAATTCTCAGTCAACAAGCTATAGGTGCTGTATAAATTGCTAACATGCTAATGAAGCTTGTTTTGACAACAGAATTAAAGTTACAGAGTACGGGCCATAATTAATGGATATAACAGATTAATAATGACATAGGGTTACATTTTACAGTTTATATTTTTAGTTTCCTCGAATATATTTAAGTGAATGCTCCTTTTTTAGCTTTTCTAGCGAGTGAATTTGATGGATATAATTGTTTGTTTTTCTACAGTAAACATTTGTGGAAACCATCTCTTTTTTCATTTGCGTACGATCACCTAGGGTTCCTTCAGCTCATTAGTGGCAGTTGACAGCCTGAAGGAAAACCACAATAAACAAAATAACAACTTTGCCCTGTTTTCTTGGAAGACGTGTTGTGCAATATAATAATATAATAACAGCAATGCTGCAATTTAGTGTGAATATATCTTTGTCCTGTGAGCAGGAATAATTTCCATTCCTTTTAGAATAAAACTCAGAGGCTTAACAAATAATCTCCTTTTGGATCATTGTAATTCTGGGCCAATCACATTAACTATGTCCAGAATACCAGGCAGGTAGGAACAGGCCTTTTTACTCCAGCACACCACAAAAAGAGATCTGACCACTGCATGCTTTTAAAGTAGGATCACATTCCTCACACAGATTAAGCCCCGGCTTTACACAGGTCCTTTAACCTGTGGGTGCTGTAACACCCGGCGCTGAGGTTAAAATCTTCTTAATCAGCTGATTGACACAGTTTCTTTAGAAAAAAAAAACTCTAGAAGGAGGCAACATTTGACTGGAAACATTTTTAGTTCCTTTTGCTTTTTAAAATGTTTTTAAACATGAACAGGAGCACTCTTTTTTTTTCCTATGCTGTACAATTAAGTAACATGAACAGGAGCACTCCCTTTTTTTTTTCCTATGCTGTACAATTAAGGAGACTTAAGAAGGACTGTGTTATGCACACCAAATGACAGTGGATTGGTAGAATTGAAGATGTATTGCAAATGAAAGGTTGATTTTCTCATTGAATTAATGCTTTATTCATCTAAAAATGATTTTTCTTGCTCCCTAAAAAAAAAAAGAAACCTGTATCAATTGACATTATGGAAAAGGAATTAGACCCTGAATCAGTTCTTGGCACATTTATACACTGTGGCCCAAACTGGATCAGCATTTATTCAACAGTCTGACAATTCAACAAGAACTAGTCAATCTGAACAGACCATCTGAACAGACCACAGGAACTGTCGGTCACCACAGGCTCAAACCAGTAAAGCTGGTTGGAACTGTCGGTCACCACAGGCTCAAACCTGCTAACTAAAGAGCATTTATGTGACACAGCTTTGGAGACAAAGAATCTCCAGATCATTAAGCAGCCTAATGTGCACTGCTGCAGTCCTTAACTCCATCTTTCACCTGTTTACTGGAGTAGGTGGCATCAGGTTGGCTGCCCTCCCTCCTGCTGTCTGTACTAATTCATGCCAAAGTACAGACAGTGACCACGTTACCTGATTTAATGCCCTGAGAGAATTCTTCAGGGGCACCACATTGCATCACAGTACTGAAAATCTCAACTGCCATTTCACCCACACACGATGTGGCTCTGCCATGGACTGGCCAACTGCCCAGGATTTACCCCGCCCTTTCTATTTGACTGCTGGGACTGGCCCCAGCTCCATGTGACCCAGAAAAGCTGGGCAGTAAAATTGGATGGATACATGGGTAGAAAAGAATAGCTTTTCAAGAAATTATTACATGCATGGCATTACCTGGCCCACTGTGCCTCTGATTGGCTAGTACTTGGGTACTACTTCATGTAGTGTGTTCCAATCACTGTGCTGCGATTCAAATTATCAGGTGTTCCATGGAGAACATGTGTATGAAGAGAAACAAAAAAGAACTATTTTCCTCTAAAAGGATAATGTATAGACACTTAAAATATGTTTTTGTGAAAGTACTTTTTACTGCATATGGCACCCTGAGTGTGTACTTTAACCAAGTAGGATCCAATTTTAAAAAAATATTTGGAAGATTCAAACTCAGATACTGTATATGTGTGTTGCATAATGGAGCAAAGAACTAATGCGGGGTTTTGTCGCCCTCCTCAGGACAGTCTGAAGAGGACAGTTATAGATTTTCTGATTTTGTAATGAAACTACTAGAAAGGAATGTAAAATAAATGTAGTGTTTTGGGCATTTTATTTTTGCTTTTCAAATCCTCTAATAATAACATTTTATTTTTGCTTTTCAAATCCTCTGACCAACTGAGTGATAGAATTGTAATCCCACAATTGCTGTCAAGTGCGAGTGACAACCATAGGAGGGCACTCTTAAATCCAGTGTAGCAATCCCAAACCTCAGCCTCTTACTAACATATGAAATCATCCCGTGCTTCAATCATTAGTCACACAGGTCACATTAAATACAAAGAGAAGCCAAAAATTGGTTGGTTAAAATATCTTTAATCCATGCTATGGTCCTACAGTTCTCCAAAATCTGTTAACAGGTTATTAGAAGATACACTGACATGTTCACAATCAAAGACATGTAAGCTTTCACAAATAGATCTTTTATATTATATAATCTATTATACGTATATAATACAAAAAGATCGAATTATTTCTAAGGCACTTAGAAAAGAAGGCACTGAGGCACAGCCCAGACACATTTGAACTCTGTTCATGTCTAATGTATACCACAACTCACAATAAATACAGTGACACTTACAGGAGCATCACATTTACATCCAGTACTGCATATTTCCACAGCAGGAACACACTAAAAGTGCTTAACAAAACTTGGAACTGTTGAATTGAAAGAGTACAAAGAACTAGAAACAGTTCCAGGATTTATGTTTTTTAACCTTTAGAAGTAAAACCTGGTTGGTTTATGTTTTTAGTTTTTATGACCTGATAAACTTAAATAGTTTTGGGTTTTTTTTTCCCTGTGAAAGATGGACTTGTTTTCACTTTTTTCCTTACTGTATTCGTAGAGAATAAGACTATTTTTGCACCACTTTTTAATGTGTTTTTCACTGCAGTGGAAATCTGGACAGACACCGTAGGAAGGTTAATTTAAATGTGAAAGAATGGCTCAACATATTCACCATTCTTTAAGATATCAGGTGAATGTAGAGAATTCAGGTTTTCTACCTATGTATCACTAATGAATAGTGATTCATCAATAGTGAGTCCTCAATGTAGTATTTAAAAAACTCGTCAGAAATCCCATTTCTACATACAACCGTCCTCAATGTAGTATTTAAAAAACTCGGATGTGACGACACATCTTCCTTTCAGTTTTATCCTATGTTCTTAAAAGTGGGAACTGTTCTGTACGTCGACATCCTTCAGCCATGTTTTCAGACATTTATTGTATAATAATGACATTAACCATACACACTGACCAGTCTCACCTTTACCTTTACTTGCTACTGCAATCATAATATTAAAATTGTACCTTATATGTTATTTAAAAAAATCACTATTGATAAAGGAGGACAGAGGGAACATTACAGAAACATGATTACTGATGGTTTCGAAGAAAGAGTTTCCAAAGACATTTTATCTACATCACTTTTACAAAGAAGATATTCTAGCTAACTCTTCTGTATATTACCTTTGTCTCTGTGGATATATGTGTGTGTGTATACTGTATATATAAATATATTTATATATGTATCACTCAAGATGAAGAGGTAGTACAATCAGGATCTGTTGGGGTGGAGCTTGCATCACACAGCTTTCTTAATGGTTGGGGAACTTGACAACATTTTTTTATCTTTTTTTCAGAAGGGCATTTTCAGGAAACATTTTTGGATAAAACACTATGTTTTTTGTTCCATATAAAATATAATAATATAATTATGTTTTAAAATAACCTCTCCTGTGTTCTTACCATAGGTCAGGCCTTAACTACATATACTATATTTCCAATGCTGATACTGCAACTTGGAGTATCTGCCGATACCAATATCGATCCAGTACCTTCCTTTCTCCTCCAGGCTGCTGTTGCTGAGTTAACAGTGTCTCTGTTTACGGCAAGTCGCGCAAAGTTAAGTTGAACATTTGGAATCGGGCTATAGTTGTTCTTTTTTTGTCCAATATTTTGACAAATATCTGAGTATCACATGGAGCCACGACTATAAGAAGCCTAGAATGCAAAGAAGCCTAGATAATGAATGATGAATGATGAATGATGAAGAAGCCTAGATGCCTAGAAGGCAAAGGCAAAAGAAAAAAAATGAGATTGAGCCCAAGACCTGTTTCTCTGATTGCAGTATACAGTAACTGCTGATTGTGCAGCAGCCTCACATACAAAATACCTTCCAGACAATGTTAAGTTTTAACTTTGTCTCCTCGGCCTTGAGTAGCTTCATTTAGACAATGACAGACGTCATTCACACAATGAAGATGAAGACATGACTGTTGTGGGTAAAGGTCACTCCAGTGTGAAGTAGACTACTACTACTTGGCCTGAGGTTGGAAAACCCAAGACCTTTCCTACAGAAAAATGTCAAATTTGTCAAACAGTTTTTCAACACTTTAAGAATTGTCCGAGCGATATATTTCAGAATAGTTATTCCTGCATCTTCCTGTAAAATTCCTAAGTTGTTTGTGTTCTACTGGAGAAATTCAGAGAAATATCATCCACATAATTTTCAAACTTCAGTGCAAGTCAGTTTAATAATTTTTTTAAAAATTAGTGAAATGTCACTCAAGTTGAAAAAGTGTATTTACATTTAACTATTTTTAGGAACAGAACCCAAGCTAGGCTGAACATTTTCAGCAAAAGTAGTTGAATTCATTGATGAGGTGATTTATTTTATTTGACCAGACCTGACTTTTGGCAGTGAATCAGGACGTTTGTGTCAGGTTCTGTCACAGAAAAAAAAATCTCCCTCTGAATAAAAAGCCATCTAGTCTTAGAAGTTCAGCAGATTAACATGATTTTCTCAAGTTTAAAAAAAATATAATTTTTTTATCATATCTTAGAAGCTTCAGGAATAATAGACAGTAATTAAAAGCCTTCACCAGCTTCTAGGTTAAGTTTCTGGACTTTATTTTTCCTTAATGGAGTAGGTGGCACTAACATATGAATTAGGTAGTTGAAGTTTCCATCACAGTAATTTACTGCTATATTAAAAAAATCTTAATAATTTCAGTTAATTAAATTTCAATTTAACACGTTTGTTTAGAAGTCAATGATTGATTTGCATATTTCTTTAAAATGAGATGAAATATATTGTTTGGCTCTCTTTTGTTACTATTTTATAGAGAAAAAAAAATCTAAAATTTAAGAGTAAAATATTGACACATGATTTGTGGATTACTCCTAGCCCTACGGGTCCCTGAATGCTTCCCAATACAGACTCAAACCACCCACCACGGTAGTTCCTGGTATAACATCTGAGGAAACATTCAGGGTGATTAAATCACTCAGGAGGATCCCTCCAGACTCTTCACAATACTACGAACCTGTAAACGTTCTCCGGTCAATCACTGAGGAACTTTTTAGAGTGGTTGTTATGGACACCGTTCTGTCCCACACAGCTC